TCATGGTATTACAGATACAAATTTCCAAACATCTACAAAAAGCTGTAGCCAGTTATCACTGTAACTGTATGTTAATATAACTTACCTTTTAAAAAGAAATTTTAATGCTCCTTGAGTGATGCCTCTCTGCCTCTGTTGTAATTGCTAAGAGAATTCCATAAACTTGTGCATGTGTTCCTTTTCAAGTTTCACTTTTCTTGATCTTTTGTTTTCTCTGGTATTTATTACTTTTATATCTTCATCTCTGCATGTGAAATACATAATCATTCCTGTTGAATTTATTGGATGAGAAGTGACTGAATGTGGGTGTATAATTTTGTATCCTGGCTTTTCAAAGCACAATATAAAATGTTATATGTCTGAAGAATTTATGAACGCCTTTACCTCAACTTACGAATCAAGGAAGTGTAATACCTTCCTCAGATTTGGGAGCTACTGAGGCTCTCATTGTGGATAAACACTGGTTGCTAAAAAGATTTAAAGTTAAAAAGTTTAAAGATTTTACAGTTTTTGGTAACCTTAAAGTTTCATTATTTGTATTTCTCTGTCCTAGATATTGAGGTGGCCTGTTATGGTTATGAAGGCATAGATGCAGTAAAAGAAGCTTTGAGAGCAGGCTTGAACTGTTCCACAGAGAACATGCCCATTAAAGTAAGTGCCAGTCTTAATAATGGAATCAAAAGCAAACTTTTCTGATGCCCTCAGGTACCAGTAACATGCAATTGCTCTTGTCTCAATCACCTAAGTGAGCGTGGGGAGCCATGTGCCTGCTTTCCAGTTCTTCTCTAGCAGGTCTGTAACACACTTCCTTTCAGCTGTCTGCTGACAGTTGTTCCTATAACTGTGCAGTGGCTTTCAAAGTTCCAGAAACTATTTATTCTGTTCACTTTGTTGAAGTCTAGTATTGGCACACTACATACCTCCTATTCCTTTTATGCAGCCTTAAGCAGGGAGCAATGCATTTTATTTTCAGGTATAAGATTGTATAAGAAAAAGAAAGTTTGCTCCACTTATGTTTGACTGTTGATAGAATGGCTACTGTAGCCAGGCCTGGTTTTTCTTCCCCAACAATTTGAGGATATTAAGTGTATTACTGAATAAGTGTTTTTAAAAAAACTTGAAAGTACTTCCTTCTTTGAAAATTCTTATAGTAGTTTCTTGTGAAAAAAGAAAAAAATTACTTATTCAGTCGTCATAAGAAATAGTACATGTTGTAACACCTTTAATTGTATTATCTAAATAGACATATCAACATATCATTTTTGGCTTTGTTACTGAGTTTGCTTTTTTCCTCCAATCCCTACAACATGATAGATTAATCTGATAGCCCCTCCTCGTTATGTGATGACTACTACAACGCTGGAGAGAACTGAAGGACTGTCTGTTCTGAATCAAGCCATGGCTGTAATTAAAGAAAAAATTGAGGAGAAGAGAGGAGTCTTTAATGTGCAGATGGAGGTGAGAACAAATTACATTCTAAAATACAATTTTTTTCCTTGCAATATTTCTAAACTAGAGCAAGATCAGTAACTCTACAAGAAATTGTAGCGAAAAGGTATTAAAGAAAAAAACAAACCTGAACTTCCATGTCCCTTAAATAAACAAATGGCCAAAAATTCTAACTGTCTGAGTTTTGTTGTATGACTTCAGGATATATTTTATCTCTTGCTTTTTATGTGGAATCAGAGTCTACAAATACATGTGATGTTTCTTTGACTGTTTACCACGTGTTTTGGTTTGGTTTTTTTCAGCCTAAGGTGGTTACTGACACAGATGAGACTGAGCTTGCAAGGCAGTTGGAAAGATTGGAGAGGGAAAATGCTGAAGTGGATGGGGATGATGATGCCGAGGAAATGGAAGCCAAAACTGAAGACTAAATGTTCTGGAATACTTAGAAGAGAGACCACACGAAAAATTAGAAACCCCATTGCAAACACTCTGGACTAAATGTTTTACAGTATTGAAAACTTCAAATGCAAATACTTGAAGTGTTTTACTGTTTTAAAAAGACCAAAATGTAAAAGGCTCTTCTAAATATCCTTTGATGCAAAAACTTACACAAATAGAATCCTTTGAAAGGAAGGTTCCTAGTCACCGATCTGTCCAGAAGGAGTTTGCAATCCCATGCTTAACACTTACATACATAAAAATTCCTAATTGGTGATTACAGCTCAGTGCATCTGTTAATGATCTGTCACGGGAGCAGCAAAAACAAGCAAGCTGAACAGTTCTATTCAAAATGTATTTCAGCAAATATTCAATAAATTTCTGGGCTATGTAACTCCAAGGTTTTGGCAATTTTTCTCCTCTTTTGTCACATGGCCTAGAGTGGTATGAATATAAAACCTGGAACAGTATAATCAATGAGTGACTCCCTTTTAACATGGAAAGGTCTTTTTGCTTTAAATCAAGCCAAGAATGAGTGGAACAAAACGTTTGTCTTGCAAGTTTGTTGATGCAGACTTGTTTAAATGAGCATTTCCTTTGTTCATCATCTGCATTTATGGACTGAGAACTTGAAAAGTTTGAAAATAGCTTGTTACCATTCCAATAAACATAGCTAATAAATGAAAAGTTACGTAAAGTTGCACTTTGATCCTATAGCTGAATATAGCAGGAACTTTAATGAACTTACTGATACTTCAAAATGGGCAGCACTGTCTTGTGACCTCACTGCTGCATGACCTTCAGTTCTACCTACCCTAAATCCCATTTATACTGGACTGAGCTGTTCACTCTAGAAACAACCTGTTTATCTTCTCTGAAGAAGAGAAACAAGATATGCTTTCTAAATTGGAATTAAAAAAAAAAATTAAATCCTGTTTTCCTTGTCAGTGGTAATTGAGGTGGAAGTGTTGGGCTTGTTTAAGTAACCTTTCCAAATTGCTAAATTTTTAAACGTGTTCGTATATTTTTTTTTATTGTCATGTTGCATATTACCCATCTCCTTTTTTTCTTAATATTTTGTGCTGCTAGAGGAAAATGCATGAAAAATTAGGCTTTGAGCCTTAAATAGGAATTTTTAATACTACCACAGTGCAAACAGTATAATTGCTCTGTGGTGTTGGTAACAAAAGGCATTCCCAAAGGACATATATATTACAATCCATGCTGGGGTATCAGGGAAGTTCACGTGTACCCAACTCTTAACAGTAATGCAAAGCCAAGAAGGTCAAATAACTTTCAGTCTTTGCAGAATGTGAGAAAATACTTGAATGTGCCATCACAGAATGAAGTAACAAATATTTTTTTAATGGTTATTTTCTCAAATTATCTTTTCAACTGCTGTGTATGACAGCCTTGTTGTGATAATGTAAATTTCCTGTTTGAACAGCTCTTCCAAACTGTGCCCGTTCACTAAAATAGTGATTTGACTTCCATTAAACACAATAGGTGGGCACTCAGACTAAATAGCGAAGTATTTTGAAACTTTGTCACCATGTGATCTGCATGGCAAAATAATGCTGTAAAGAAAAGCACTGAAAAACCAGCCGCATGTGCTCCAAGGAGGGAAGGAATGCTGTCAAGGGATTACAGTTGTTACAATTTCTAAGAGCTGTTTCAGTGTGTCAATAGATGAGCATTGTTTCTGTCAGTAACTTAGGCAAAAGTTTGCTAAATTTTTTTCAGTGGCTACCAGAGCTTTTCTAATTAGAGCTGGAGCACTCTGGTGGGCACAATTCTGTGTCAGGTTTGAGTGCCTGAAAAAAATGACCAAGATAGTGAGGGCAATAACAAAGCAGGTTCAACTGAATGCATTTCAATCACTCACTATCCTGACGTAAAACCAGGCTCTCCTGATTTGCTCTCCTGAGCAGATTTTAACCAAGAAGCTTAAATAATGCAAAAGACAACCCGGTGAATCCCCCTCATGCGTTGCAGAAGCTTGAAGGAGGAGGTGTAAGGTGGGTGTTCCAGAGGCCTTTCAGCAAGGGGTGCACAAGGGAGTGCTGGGGGTCAGCTGTGTTCCATCACTTAAGGACATTAGAGTTGCTGAGATGATACCTTCTATCTCAACCTGTCTCTTTTCTATTTGTGGAACTGCCTTTGCTTACCAAGTGCTTAAAATAAGGGTCTGGGTTTTGTGTGAATGCCTTTGTTGAGTTGCTAAAGCTGGGTAGCACATTCCTGCTGCTCATTAGGTGCTGTGCTGTTGACTCGGCTGTAATCACAAGGCCAACATCTCCACTTGCACTCGTGTAGTCAATGGACCAGTCAATGGAAAAGTACAGGTATACCTGTGGGCAGGGCTTGGCTTGATGTATTAATTGTAAGGATCTCAGCTTGACTTTCATACCCCAAATTAATTTTGTAAGATTGACAGCTTGGGAAGAATTTTACTTACAGCATCTGATAAGGACTCATTAACAAAAAAAACCCTAAACAGGGTTACCAGCTCACAGTCCAGTAACACACAGCCCAGTATCCTGTTTCTGGTGAGGGGAAATAGTGGCTGAAGAAGGGGTGCCCTGCTTGCTTGTGGTTTTTTTCTTTAGGTGCAGTGGAGCTGGCATGTTGTTCTTCATAGCAGAATCTGAACTTTGGGGTTTAATTTCTGATAGGTTTTTTTTGTTTGTTTGTTCCAGAGCCTAGACAATTAAACCACTGTTTCCAAACACTCCACCTTTCTACAGTTGATTTTGAAAGTGCTGTTATATCAGAATTCTTTTGAATGCTTGTTTTCTTTCACTTTTATCTAGAAATGTTTCATCGTTCTTTGTTTTGATGTGGTTTGTTTTCATCATCTTTCACCCCTAATCCACTAAGGAACTAAATATTTAATGGAGTTTACACTGGAGGGCAAAGTCCTGACACTTAAGAAGCTGATTTGAAAAAGCTGGTATATGCAATGCCCCATGTGACACGATGCTGGACACAGCATTGCAGAGCATGCAACGGAGGTTTCCTTTGGTCAGGTTCTCTTAATCAGCTGTTCATGGCTTCTTGAAGGACTGACTGGGAGGTACCAGCAATGTCTGCCAGGTCAGTCAGCTGAAATAGCATAGTCTGCACTCAGAGCTGGCTGCTCCTGCCCTCCTCTGGAACCCTGACTAGCTTCCTGTGCTCTTGAAGCTGGCTGGCTCTTCCTGGCCATTCTGATGCATATTTTATAGTATACAAAGTATTTTGGGGTCATTTTGAATGGAAGAAAATGTCAAGCACTCAACTGTTCTTGTTGTTATAATAGTACATGGACATGTGGAAAACACTCTGAAATGGATCTGAGGACATGGGTACTCCTCCTTCAATGACTTTAAGTCCCACGGAAGACTTGATATGGAGCTCCCTAGGTTTATACAGATGGAATGAATCATGTCCTTTTCCACCAGAGGAGTTCAATGCCAGAACTTGCCTCCCCAGCCCACGTGCGAATATGGCAGTCCAGATCTACTGACTCATTTTACACGGTATGACCTTGCAAGATCTGTGTTTATTCAGCCTCAGGGAGCAATATAAGGGCAGTTTTTCAGCCTTGATTAAGTACAGAATGAGAAGGGGGAAGGGGTGTGTGTGTATGATAAATATGCAAAGTGTTGAAGAAATACTTAGAGTTATTGAAGGAAGTGAAGGCTCTAGATAATAAAAGGTAGTTGATACAAAACCTATTGTTTAATGACCAGCTAAAGCAATATTTGCTTCACCATTCACCACCAGTTTGACAATAGAATCCTTTGTTGCTAATTTTAGTTTTGCCAAGATTCGTCTGCAGGGCTGTGGGTGGTCTGCATGCTGGAGAAAAAGAGCTTGTCAGATCCTCAGCAACGACTGGTTATGGAGCAATTCTGAGATCACTGTCTGAGTGAGAGCCCCCTGCAAGCTCCTACCTGCCCTCTCTAGTATGAAATAGCACTGTGTAATAAATCGCCTGCAGTAACAAGTTGAACAATGTAATTCAAACCTCAAATACCAAACTGTGGAACACAGTATTCCTGGAGCTGAAGTACATGTCCAGGAAATGCATGCAGCAGTAATGTCTTGTATATGTAGACTCGAGTTTTCTTCTTTTTTCTCCAGTTTAATTCTGATGTACAGAACATTGTGAGCTGAAAATAATCTTTATGTTCTCTGCTTACTGCAGGGTTTTTTCCAAGATTCTGTTTCTGAATACAACTTTTTACATACACATATATATATATACACACACACAGATAGAGATTATTTTTTCAATTAAAATAAATACATTCAGTTAATTTCTGCTTTATTTTAAGGCAAAATAATATTTTTTTTAATTACAAACATTTCCATTGGTAACTTTTAAAATACTACATACCAGCAGCAAAAAAATACTCTTCTAAGTGTTCTATTAAACTTACTGTACTTACTTTAGGTGGACTGAAGAACAAACATACTGGGCCATGACTTATGCAGCCAGTTTCATCGTGGCTGACCACTTTTTTCCCCAGAGGCAAAGGGTGTACAGTAGGAGCTATGTAGGTAACTTCCATATGGGTCACCCTGCTTTTGAAATCTCAGCCAGCATGTTTTTTCTTTATACACAATCAATTTTTCTAACTTCAAGTAGTGTTCAGTCACTTGTATTCTCATGATCTCTGCAGGACTGTTCTCTGGGTTGTCTCCTGTATGATGTCAGTTTCAATTCTTCCGTGTCTTGCTATTCCTTGCTAAAAATTATAAAAATGCCATAGAGATAAAGAAATTATTTGTTTGTTCCTTTTCCTTGGTGCGTGAAAATGTGCCCCGTAATATTTGAGTCATTTGTCTTACTGACCTTTGGACTCTTTACATAGCAACAAGTGCTTTTGTTTATTTGTTATATTCTACCTTGTACTTCTTATCACAGCCATAGCTCTGCCCACATATATCGCCTTAATTTTAGTACAAGTCAGGGAATGCTAACAGTACAGCAAATTATTTCTGAGCAGCAGTGCTGTCTGAAATACTAATACTGGTTTATTTCATCAGGACAAAAGACAAAGTCTTCAAAAATGCAATAAACATCTAAGCTTGTATTCGACACACAAAGGCACTCTGTTTCAGAGGTGCTCAGGAGGTACAAGAGGTCACTGCACAGTGCTCATGAATCAGGCTGCCTTATGGAAAGCCCAGTTATGTACGGATTTAGGATATTAGGTTGAGAGTCTTGGTTTATATGTCCAGAGATCACTGAAAGTAGAGCAGGCTTTTAGGTGCTCTGGTCCTTCTTCAGTAAAATAAATTTCTAGCAGAAGAAGTTACTGTAAGGTTTGTAAAAGTCTCCTTGTAATCTTAATATTCCACATAATATACAGCATGCTGATCTGCAGAACTCCTCTGAGATGTGTTTTTTAGATGAGAAATTTTAAGGAAGTTGATTAGTCTGAAGTTTTGAGGGATGCTATTTTATAATTCTACTTCTCCCTCCCATGCAATACCTGATTTGTCATCATGTAGCTACTTATATTGGCCAGCGCATTCTGTGTAGTTTTTTCTCTACTAAATTCTGTGAAATTCTTTCAAGGTTTTTTTAGGCATCCCTTTGTTTTACTTCCCAGGGGGCAGGTAATGTATAAGCCAGCTCACTGCTTAACTAATGTCTCACAGATAGGGAGGGAGGGAAAAAACAGGGTAGGGAGAGTACGTCACATTGAAGGAGGAGGGGAGCAAAGAAAAATGAGCTTTCTTAAACAAATCATGTGCAGAGGGACAGGCTGCCAGTGCTCAGGCAATCCTCAGCGGTGGCTCTGCTCTATTCCCTGCTGGCCATGATGCAGGAAGAAGCTGGAGTCCTGAAGGAGGGCTTCCTTGTCAAACGGGTAAGTGCTCCGGTTCCCCTTCGTGTGGTTCTACTCAAATGCGGAAGCAACCCCTGAGCAGGGACTGGATCAAGCCAGGACTCATGGCAAGGCAACCTGTTGGGTGGTGGGTTTGAGGGGCTCCTGCCTTCTCCTGGGAAAGGAGCTCCTTCAGATTTGTGCAGATGCCTGCCAGGGGAGCTGCATGAACTGCAGGTGTTCGCTACCCACCCTCAAGTTTCCCTGTGTTGGCATTTACCCAGAGGAAAGTGAATTAGCTATCAGGATTGCTCAGGTGTTAGAAAGCCAACATGTCTGCACCTCGCCCACACCTCTGCAAAGAGCACATACGCGGCAGCAGCGGGAGCGACCATGGGAGGACTGAGAGAGGGGAGATGTTTTGACAGTCTCTTAAGATAGCTTGTGCCTTCTTTAGTGATCCAGCTGAGCAAGGTTTCCCATTTCATATGAGATAATGGAGAATAGATTATCCTCTTTGAAGGGGCTCAGAGCAATGCAAACATAAAAATGCATTTGAAATAACTTCTTTCTTCCACAACCTCAAGCCAAAACGTGGTGAAAAGAGCTGAAAGATGGTGTCACAGATTTCAGCCTTCCCAATGTTTCTCCCCGTAAGATCAAGTCAGTTACAGCTGGGACACAAGAAGGCAATTTAGGAAGTGACACAAACTGCTCTTAGTACCATGGCTCTGTCTCAATGATTGATATGGTCCTTGATTTCATACAAAAAATGTGATTCAGAGGTTTGTTCAAAGCTTTGCCACGCCTTGGGAAATGCTTTTCTACAGTACGTGGCAGTGTTTCTGGTGCTAACACGAAAGTAATCCTGGTCAGGAGCTCTCCTGGCAGGGCTCCTAGCCAGTCAGGCAGCCAGTCACTGGCCACATGAAACCATGCTCCATGTGGAGAAGGGGCTATTCCCCTTCCTCCCTTATGCAGAAAGGGCAGAGCAGTCCCAGCTCTTGGTCTCTTTTCTGAGCTATAGTTGTATTTTTTGGCTCTTAAGTAACTACTGAATTCAAGATGGGAAGCCAAGGCACCAAGTGCATGAGAGGAATAGGTTATCACAGCACACTAAACTGTGACTGCCAGCAGTCTGTACAACATCACTGAGACACACAGTTTGATAGGACAGACACCACAAAGAAAGCAACTAAGGGAACTGAGGGAGAAGATCTCCAGGGATCCAGAGAGAAAAAAGGAGGAAGGGGTGGGATCAGGTAAAGAAAACAGAGCTTTCTTAAGAAGAGAGCAGAAGCCAGAAGATGATCTAAATGGATTACAAATTACTGAGTTATGTATCGTAATGGATTATAAATACAAAATCAATGTGTGGAAGTCAGATAAAGATAAAGCAAAAAAAGTAAGGCAGCCTCTTGAAACAGCGAACATCTCCAAGAAGGAAAGAAAGGAGCCATAGCAAAGAACATGCAGGAAAAATGTCCAAGGGACTTTACAACACAGGATACAAAGGGAAGGAGAACAAACCCAAATTAGATAAACTGTATTTAGTATAGACTAGAAGACGTTGGATCTAAAATGCCCTGGATTTTAGAGACTCATTACCCCACCTTTACTTGGAAATTGCTGAGTTTCCCCTTCATTCACAGATAATTAATGAGCTTTGACTCCTGCCACAACTGGAGCTTACATTTTCCTTTCTTCTATCCATGCCCACCCTCTACCAGGTGCCAGAGATTCTTCTACCCCATGCTTTGCCTGCTGACTGTAATATTCCACTGCCTGTAGAAACACAAGTCAGGTCCTCACACGGCAAAGCTGGACCTGACACCATCTGACAAGACTGAGCCTGCCAGTGCCAGCCCCCACTGGTTTTGCTCATCCTTTAGCCAGACTAAAGAGAGCTGGGGGCTGTTTACAGAGAGGAAATAGGAGGTTTCATCTGTATTTTGATATAACTCAGGAGGCACTCAACAGCAGCCTTTATTCAGGCTTTTGTCGGTAAAAAACATATTTCTTTTGCAGGAAACAGTAGCACATGGAATGTTTTAGCCCAGGAGATTGGAGGCAGGTAGGATAGAAATTAACTACTTATTAGTAGTAAGAGGGGAGGTAAGGAAAAGCTAATTCATCAAGCAAAGCATTTGCAAAACCACTTGGCATCTAGAGTCACAACAAAATGAAGAAAAAAAAGACTTCCCCTAGGGTCACTGTAAAAGAGGAATTGGTTGTCAAGAGCCCTCACACATCTTGTATTTAGCCCTGTTCCTGCCTGTACTGTCAGCAGACAGGTGTGTACCTAAATGACAGCTCTTTATAATTCATGTGAGTTTTGCAAGAAACAATTCTTGCCATCAAAGAAGTTTTCCTTGCTGAAAAAAGAGCAAAGCACTTTTCTATTGTTCTGTGATTTTATAGTGATGAAGCTGTTCTATTTTGTTACTAAAAACGTGTATTTCAGGGAGAACAGGACTCATGGTGACTTTTTGTGTTTCTTTTCATACAGTTTCCTATTAGTTCATGGTATTTTCACAACAAAACAAAAAGAAGGGAAAAAAAAGAAAATATGGTAATTTCTCTATGCTCGTGTTAAAGTTTGCTATGTGCATTTCTTCCTTTCTAGGGGCATGTTGTTCGTAACTGGAAAGTGAGATGGTTTGTTCTGCTTCAGGATAAGCTGCTGTATTACAAAATTGAAGGAGGCAAGAAGGAGCCTTCTCCAAAGGGCAGGATCCTTTTGGATGGCTGCACTATTACCTGTCCATGCCTGGAATATGAGAACAGACCGGTATGACCGAAAATACGTATCTCTTCTCGATGTCACTCACTTTCTAACTTCTCACTAGTCTTTTCCTCTCCTTCTGACTTCTTTGATTACTGCAACCATACCACTGGAGTGCTTTCAGAATTTGGCCCAGCTAAAAGCAAGCTACCATTAGCAATGTAACCCAGACAGGCAATGAACCCCCTCTTTATGTCTTTGCTCTTCCCTGTGCCCAAATGTGAGTCACAGTCATTAACAAAAAAAAAAAAATAAAAAAAAAATCACTATTCCTGTGCACACAGTTCATTGAAAAAATGCAAATGCATCAGCCCAACAGTGAGCGGAGAGAGGATATGAACAGTTCAATAAAAGCTGAGGATGGGAAAAAGGGGAAACATTATCTATGGTAGTTGCCTTAAAACATAGCTGTATCCATGGGGTGCCCCCAGGCTGGCAAATCAGACTCCCTTTTCCTTCATCAATGGCACATTGCTGCTGTAGAAATTTTACAGCAAGAGGGCTCTGGAATGTAAAGTACCTCCTGCGCTTCTCTGCTCGCCCGTGGATAGCGGCAATACAGACTTCCTCTGCATGGGGCCAGAACGGAAATGACTGGAAGTTGCTGATTATTTCAGGACTTCTCATGGCAGAACGAGCCTAGGGATGGTTTGTAGTTGTTGAGACCTGGATGTAAAAAGCTCCACAGTCAGCGGCACACTCCAGTAATCCATTCTGTTGTCTGCTCTCTTAAGTACTGCGACCTCCATGGATGTGAACCATGCTTGGAATTGAAAATCCAGGGATTTGAGGGGGATGGTAACAAAAACACACAAAAACCCCCAAACCCAGAGTTGTGCCCACAATCCTTCTGAACAAGAATTGTCCTAAACTGCTCAGCTGGGATCAGACTTCTTTGTGTCTCTTTGGCCAGTGCTAAAAGAAGCAAAATGCAAGAGGAGGGAAATAGCTAAAACAATGTTATTGCTTTGCACTTCTTTCTCCACAGCTACTAATCAAACTAAAGACAAAAACCAATACAGACTATTTCCTTGAATGTTGCTCCAGGGAGGAGCGTGACTCCTGGGCTTTGGACATCACTGGAGCTATTCATGCTGGTCACCCAGTACAGGTACAAGAACTTCACAGAATGAAGAACTCTTTCAAACTGCTAGATAATATCAGCCTCCAGTAAGTGTATGCCATTTCTCCTTCTATTGCTCTAGTTCACAAAGCACCTGAGCTGATGGATGGGGAGGGTCAAGGGAAGCTCCACTCTGCACTGATCCACTCCCATGTGGCCCGGATGCTCTAAACTGGCTGCCCTGTCCTAGGTTTGCACATACTTTTGCCAGGGAATGCACATTTTCCTGACCATCATCTTTCGGGAGTATGTGGATTCTGCACCAACACCTCACTGCTGGCTTGGAGACCTCCCTAGTCAGCTGCAAATGTTCTCACTGGGGAGATGTATTACCTCAGAAGATGAATTATCAGGGAAAGACTGGGTAGTGACATTGTTCATGCCGTGTTGGTGAGCTTTCAAAGCTGGTAGCTGGAATCCAGAGTAAGATTTCATGTTAAAAAAGAGGAAATAGAGAACTGATTAGGAAATAGAAAAATTTCATTAATTTTATTTGTCTTGAGCAGGCAAATCAAGGCTGACTATAGATGAGTTTGAAGTACTTTAAATTGTAAAATACTTTGTGAGGCATCTTGTTTAGTGCTGCTGTTGGGAGAATGAAGTTTTCCTAGAACTTATTTCGGACAAATATTCTGGGGGAGTACCTAGAATGCTTCTCATCTTTATGCGGGTAATTATGAGGACACCCCAGGAGCTGACAGAAGTACACGGCAATTTCTGCCTGTCTTTCTCATCTACTGATGTGCTGTACTCTCGCTTACAGTGACATAGTGGAGAGAATGTATGACAGCAATACTGGAATTAAACTGACCCGCAACTTGGATCAAGGCAACAGATATAAAGAGACCTTCACAGGTACACCTACTGCAGGCAAAGAGCCACCTCACATCTGACATGCCACACTGTAGAGGCAAGGGAGCTACTATCCTGTCTTTCATAGTGGGATCGGTTGTGGCCCGGTGGTGCAGCCAAGCTCTCCAACACCTTTCTCTCTTGGCTCTTTGGATATATGGAAGCGCTCATAGGACCCCACACAAGGTCAACCTCGCACTTCATTGGCAGCCTTTGTGATGGCGTCAAAATGTTTCAGCAAGTGAAAACATGTGGCAGGAGACCATCTGCCTTGCCTCAGAAGAGCACACTGCGTTGGTATGAAAGCTGCCTTTCTTTCTGCAGGTTCTTCCCTGGTGGACTGGCTCATTTCCAATAGCTTTGCTGTGTCACGATTCGAGGCTGTCACCTTGGCATCCATGCTGATGGATGAGAACTTCATCAGGCCTGTGGGAACCCGCAGCACTGAGGCCATGCGCTTCAGCGACCCCTCTGAGAAATTCCTTGATGACTCCACCGCACTGTACATGTTTGTAAGTGATGCAGCTGCCAACAGAAGCACATCCTCTGCCCCCTGTCACACGCTTGATTTGAAACAGTGGTGAAGAGGACACATAGAGCTTGCAATCAAAGGCAAAATATGCAGGCTGAGAAAGTAAATATGCAGAAGGATCATCTCTAGGCTGTTAGTAGTACTAACACTGGCACATTTGCTGGAGGCAAGTAGCTACATGGTTATGGAGGGATCTACAAATTACATAATTGGGCATTAAAAGGGGTGTGTCCCTGGAGTGCAGTGCTGTGTCTGCATGTATCGGAGGCCATGCTGCAGTTCTGCTTCAACTCAGGGTCACAATGCATGTACACGTGCTTGTTAATCTTGGGACTACAAGGCTTAGCAGCAGAGCTATGGAGTAGAATTAGCTCAGGAAATATGGGCTAAAAACAGCTCAAGGAAAATAAAATGCAGAATTTTGTACTTAAAAGTGTGTTTAGATTAAAAAAAAAAAAAATGAAACCATCTTTACCCTATCTGCAGGCTGAGAACAGTAAGAAAAATACCAGTTCCAAGGAAGAGGTACAATTTAACATCTCTGAATTAAGCGGCACAATTGTGAAGCAAGGATTCTTAGTGAAACAGGTAAGCACAGTCTTTGAACCTGCACTGGGAAACAGAAAAAATGACAGCTAGTAGGGTTTCTTAGAGAATAAATGTGATTTACACAAGCCAGGCTGAAGAGTGGTGGCCAGTAGAACTAGCTTGCCTGTCAGAACTACTACTAGAGATCATGCAGTGAAGAGGATCTAGTTTTAAAGAAGTGAGGTATGGAACCTGCTGCTCAGGCAAGATTAATTGGATATTCTGTATATATTGAGTGTATACTGAAAGGTACAAAACAGTATCAGAAGCAAAAGTCCCACATAAACTCCGAATCATACCAGGCGTTACATTCACTTTGATGCAGAGCCACTGTTCCTCTGGTTTAACATATCCCGTCTGGGTAGTGTGAGCAGTGACGATTCTTTGCTGGCCGCAGACAAATTTCAAAGCTGAGTAGTTTGACTTTTCTATGAAGCGGATATTTACCTGTGGGCAGTCACTCGTGTACATGGGGGTGCTCTGGTGGCGGTGAAATCTGTTGGCAATAATTGTTTAAAGGATTGGTCTGCAAGATTTAATTTCTGACCCTTGCTGTGAACAAGATGAGAGGCAATCATGCTGTTTCAAAGCATAACACAGCCACCTGCAAATGGAACCCTACCTGCACTGTATGGCCACATTCCTACTCTGGAGCTTTGTACCCAGAGCTCTGACTTTGGTGTTGTGCAAACTGGATCACCAGATGCTTCACAACCCTCCGTTCTCCAGCTGCCAGCGTGCCACAAGGGTTGGTGGGGCACTGGGGGATCCTCACAGGTTGGCAGGGCAGCCCCTCCATCGCCATAGGACATGAGAGCTGTCCAGGAGCTTCTTCCCATGGTCAGCAGCAGCAAGGGGCAGCCCCCAGAACCTCAAAACCAGAGCTGCAAAAGGATCTGACATAATCCCTTCAGAGCAAACACGGCATGAGTTTTTAATCTGAGACCCATATTTAATATTAAAAGCAGAAATCAGGGATATATTCATTTGGTCCTGTCACTTTGCTTTCTTAGTTCTCAGTGCAGGGAAGGAAGAGAGGAAGGAATTATCCATGTGTGAAGAAGGAAGATAAGCAGAAAATTCTGGGAACTACCAAGATGTCAGGAAAGATTTTTCTCTGTTGGCTGCAAAAGCTCTTTTTTTGGTACATATTTATGTCTCCCCTACAGCCTGCAGGAAAATGGCCATTTCAGGAGGTGGTAACTTTAATTCTTCCATTTTTCAGGGGCACAAGAGGAAAAACTGGAAGGTGAGGAGATTTGTTTTGAGAGCTGATCCTGCTTTTTTGCACTACTATGACCCCACTAAGGTATGTGATTGGGAAGTTACCACCCCTAGAAATCCTCTTGAAGACCTAAATATTATAATGAAAATACAGTTATGCTGTAAATATTTCTCTCATACAGATCTCTTTCTGGGTTCCTCTGTCCATTTCCTGGAGAATTAGACCTCTCTGGCCTTACCCTAGGAGGTGGACCTTGTAGGATTTTGTATCTTGCATCTTCCATCCTGTCTTTTTCACAGTGAGATTGCTTTTCTTTAGCCAAGGGGCAGAAGTCTCCTTGTAATTGGTCTTTTGCTGTACCCACACAGTCTGGGACCATGGTCCTGCAGGGATTCTTCCTGGGATGTGATCTTTCTGGGCTGATATCCCACCACTTGAGGGTCATACTGGTACCGGGATTTTTTACATTCTTATTCTAACATTGGATAGGGTCTCCTTGATGACAAAGTATTTATAGGAATTTCTACTACTCAGTTTTAAACTTGCTCATGGAATAGTAGAATTTATTTTCATGGATATAACAATCAATATGAGCAACCCAGATGCATAGGGTACTACACTGCCTGTTCCTTTGTGGTTTTTTTTTCCACTGGAACTCATCCTTATCGTACTATAAACTCAAACTGCAGAACCTGAAGGCAAGAAACAAGAGCACCAGCCAACTAGCGAAAACAGTCAGATTTTTCCCATACAGTCTCACAAAAAGCAGCAAGCTAAAAACTTGCAGAAATATATATATAATATTCAATGTGTGTTGTTGATAAAACTACATAAATTTGAAACGTGATTGCCTACCCTTGTGCTTTTAACTGATCTCCCCCATGCCCAGCTACATCAGATAAACATCTACGATTAAAACAATATAGTAGTGCTTTTAATTATATGTTCTAATTGACTTCTTTTGTGACATGGATGTGTCATATGTGGAAGGACTGGCATTACATCCCCAACTTCCTAAAAATAATGTATGTGCTCTGGGAAGTTATTCTAATGATATTTTCTAGCTAAGTCTTGTTTCCCTTTTCTTTGCAGGAAGAAAACAAGCCAGTCGGTGGATTCTCCCTCCGAGGCTGTCTTGTCTCAGCTCTAGAGGACAACGGAGTCCCAGCAGGTAAGCACAAGCCTCTAAACTTTTGTACATACATATTTGTGATACAGCAATACAGTCTTTAGGTATGGGTTTGTGTGTATGGCTGTTTGTATGCACAAGTGTACTGGCCCTTCATTTCCCTTCACAAGCAGGAGAAGAGGCATGTCACAGATCCCTGTGCTGCTGGGTTGTCCACACCAAAGGGGACTTTTTTTAGCATTATTTCCAAATACTTTGGGTGTTTCCAAGGTTTTATGGGCTTTTTATGGGCTTTTCTCAGTTATATGACCTCTGAGACAGTCCTAAGACACTGATTAATATTTCAGAGTTAACAAACAAAGAGGAAACACCTTCATTTTGGATGTTGTTTAACTCAAAATTTTGAGGCATCCTCTGATGCCATCGCTTTTCTGCATGTCCTCTCTGCTTATGCTATTACCTCTTCCTTTTTGATCTGCTAGAATCCAAATGTAGGGGAGACATAAACACAGCAATACAAAAAACAGTTCTGCGAGAGCATATGCTTAGCTTAGGCAGTTGTCTAAAACCTTGGCCTCGCAGATGAGTGTTTCTACTGTGAAAGCAATTTATTTTATGAGAGCAAGAACAATATGCGGATCTCAAATACTGAACATCTTTTAAAGAGAAGGTCTAAAAAAGCTTTGGTCTGGAGCAGGGTGACATGATAGACAATAGATTTCCCTGCTAGGAGGAACCCAAATATGGGCAGGAGCAAATCTATCTGCTGTACAAACTGGTAGGGAGTTCATCCCTCCAGTGTATAACTCGAATAATAGTCTCCATCTAAAGAGAGACTACTATACATATGTTATCTAGTGCACAGTAGTTCATACAATCTATGGCAGGAACGTCTGTACTATGTCTTTATTTTCATGGAATCACAGAATCATCAAGTGGTTGGGGTTGGAAGGACCTCAGCAATCATCTTGTTCCAACACCCCTGCCACGGACAAGGTCATCTTCCTCTAAAGCAGTTTGCTCAAAGCCCTATCCAACCTGGCCTTGAACACTTCCAGGGGTTTTGCAGAAAGAAAATCAAAGATGCAAGAGCTTTAGAGGTCTTATCCATAACAAAAAGAAAAGATTTGATTGCGTAATTCACTAAATTTAAATTCTTCCCTATGAAACTTCATATTTGCCAGAAAACCTTTCTCTGCGTACTGTCCTGATTTTTTTTTTCTCTGCAGGAGTGAAGGGCAATGTGCAAGGCAATCTCTTCAAAATCATCACCAAAAATGACATTCATTATTATATCCAGGCCAGCTCCAAGGCTGAGCGAGTGCAGTGGATTGAGGCAATCAAACCACTGACATGAGTAACGTGGACTCCATGCCAAATGACAAATCACATTTGTGACCAAGTTTTCTGCTCTCATTTTCTGGGAGTATTGTTATCCCCTTGATAGTCTATTTCTGTTATTTGAATTATCATAGCACTTAGCAATTCCTGGTAGACCAGCATCCTAGGCGTCTTAAAGTCATATAGACCGAGAATAATTCTCCACCAAGAATTTACCGTCTAACAAAAAGACAAAAGACAATAGGTGGATACAGACAAATGGGGCTTTACAATGAAATGATGAGATACAATATTCCAAGACAGAAGAAAAGAATCTTTTGTACAAGTATTCAGTTTATACCTGACAGATCCACATTGTGCTTTATCTTAAAGCAGAAATATCTTGCTCATTTCCCCTCTATAAAGGGGCTCATAAATTAATTAGTTAAGACTGAAACATCAAAGTCATGAAAGGTGCTGATGTCTGAGGCTGCCTTTCTTGGTATACCACACGAATCTTGTGCTAAGCCACAATCCAGCTGCCAGGATAATCAGTACTGCAAAACAAACAAGGGATCTGTCTGTCCATCCATCTGCTTTACTGTTTGGCTCTCTGTTAGACTTGAAAAAACCCAAAGCATCTTCCTCTCCACTATATAGATTGCTCTTGTGCTGGTAATGATACCAGACAGTACAAGATCCTGAGTATCAAATCAGACCAGTAGCAGTTCCAGGCAATTGCTGGTACTGAATATATTGGAAGAAATCACTCAGCTATAAAAGCGAGACTTTTCCTTCGATTATCATCATAAGTTCATTTATGTTGGAGAACCATTTGGACTGAGAATTACAGTAGCAGATATGGCTATTGCTTCTTCTATCTTAGGTCATTAGTTCTTCCATTATTTGTCTACTAAACTTGTCTTTGATATCATTAAATATTAAAAAAAAAACAACCCCAAAACCAGTGCATTTGAATATCCTGTGCTCTTTAGAGATATGATTTTTCTCAGAGGGCAGTTTGAGTATATGAAAAATAATGGTTTCATTCACTGTAATTTTAGATTTATACATAAACTGAGACACCAGAGGGTAAAATGGAATGTAGGAAATTATTAAAACACCTGATATACTACTTTCATAAAATTCCTAGTTTTATCTTAGTACCTGTATCTGACAGCCAAACTCTTCAGAGCCTTCAAAAGCCCTCTGAAGGCAACATGCTATATCTTCCCTGAAGTCACAGAGGAATTTGATAGCTCTCTGTCCACAGTTCCATCTCTTTGCAGATTTTATGTTCTCCAAGTTGTGTACTAAAAAAAAGTCTCATCACCAAAGGCAGCATATGATATATGCTTATATATTTATTAGAATAGCCACGTATGTAGGACTTGCTTCAAAAGCTACAGCAATAAAATAACAGCACAATGCTTACATGTGTTCAAATATTTAACAGAGTTTATTTAAAGAAGTTTGCCAGCAAAGATGCAGTTTTAATTAGATACAAAAGTGGGCAATGCAGTTTCAGCTACAGATACATTTCCTAGGCCTGGTCCAGAGAAGACTGTGAAATCCACAGCTGTTGAAACCCTTCAACTCAGGAAAAGCTACCTGGAAGAGACAGGGATGTTGAGAAGGAATTTATTGCTCTGTACTCGGAAGCCCAAATGGCTTTGTGTTGATTGAGCAGAGCTTCCAGAAAAAGCAGTTCCCTCCTGACAATGTGAGCCTTGCTGGGGACCATCAGATTCCCTTATTGACTTACAAGAAAATCTCCTGCTTCTCTTTTCTCAGTCCCATTACCTGCATAATGCCCAGTTCTAGTCACAAGGCTAGCAGCCACCCCATTGCAGAAGACTGAGCTCTGTCACCTGGCATGCATGGGAGGTTAAGGAATCATAAGAATGTGAGATACTGCACAGCATCACAAATCTTGCAGTTTGGGAGGCCAAAAGTGTATCTCAGCAATAAGTCTCAGATTTACCCAGACTAGCCATAGCTCTGCAATTGCTGACTGTGTATGAGAAAAAAAAGCTTACATCTCAAACACATCAGCAAATTAAAAAAAATATAGTTCCCACTCTCCAGAATCATCCAGAGGAAAGAGATAAAACATTTCTCAGACAAGAAAAAGTACATATTCCTCTGTTCCCCGGTGATATTGAGGTCTCCTCTTTTCAAGCCACTTTGGTAAGCTTGATGTCCCCTGAGATCTGCAAAACTTTAACCAAGTTCAGAGGCTGAATGCGGTGAGTGAAGTCACAGAGCTGCCGTCCATCAAGCAGGACTCGTATTTGCTGGTGTTCACATAAGAGCTCCATCTGCAATGGAAAATGACAGGGGAGGGTGTTAGAGGTCAGCAGCAGGGTTGATTTCACCAGCACGGACTTCTCCAATTGTTATGGGGAGAGTGAAGCACAGAGTCTACCATTCCTTCTGAAATCCCCTAATAAATAACTTACCCTCTGCTGAGATGATACTGCAAAGCTCCTTGCAGGGAGTACTCTCACTAAGATTAGAGAAAGGAATGCATCTCTCCCATCAGGGCTTGAACTGTTGCTGTCTGTGCCATACTAGACTAGTTAACCTGGCAATGTCAGTACTTAGCTATTTTTGGTCACATAGCCTTCAGCCTTTCTCCCCTCCTTTTCTCTACTCTATTCATAGTACCAAAAAATTACCTTGAATGTATCGCCTGCTGTAAATGGAAAGTAGGGAATAGTCTTCTCTTCTTTTCCCCATTTTCCACCAATTCGTGCATTTCGGGTGATGGATTTCTCACTGAAGTTAACTGTAAATAACAGCCCAACATCTTTGTTTGCATCCACTGGATCACAGAGCAGAGTCACCGAAAAACTGAAAAAAAACCAGTTAAATGACTGGAACTTTCAGAAATGTTAAAGGACATGGTGAACATGACATGCTTTTAAAGACTACAGACAGCTGTTGATTTCATGTCAGACTGGTTTTTAAATGATGTTGATTCCAACCCCCAGCAGACAACCAAGATGCAGGTTGAGAATTGCACCTCTTCCTGGAGGAGAAATGCCACTTGTGTGCTCCCTTCCAGTTCACATTAGATAAGGGCAAGGAGTAGAAAATCCTGTCAGGGCAGCCAGAAAGGTCAAAGAGTAAACTCCTCCTTGACCTTTAATCTAAGTGCATGAAAACTAAGTAAAGCCATAAATTATTAACCTGTTTGATTTTCTTCCTCCAAAGAGCACAGACCTCCAAGAAACCTTCTGAATTTAGAAAATAGGTAGGAGCGTGTATGACGTGGTGAAGCCCCCACCAGTACCTTCACCTACCTCTTTGGGTTGGAGTGTACAATGCCTATGACTGTGAGTTTCATGGCTGGTCTCAGGCCACCTTTAATTTCACCAACATACTGCTCCACCTGCAGGGAACAGTGAAAAAAATGACTGCAGTGGGTGATGCAGGTAAAGTTTTAACGGCTGCTTTGGTCACCTGATATACATTGGGTTTCTTTTTACATATACAAAAGAACTCAAAAATATTTCTGGCCTGAAGTACTTCTTGCACTCTCAGTATAAATTCTGTATTCTGGTATCTGAGGGAAGCAAGAGGGCTGCCATAACTGAGTGCGTGGTGACAAGGCACTGGCTGCCTGACAGGACTGCCGGCCCCCCTGGGCAGCGTCCGACCAAAACTGCTGTCAGCAAGGGGAGTGTCTACTGTCCTTGCTCTACCTGAGTGACCTGTGTGACAGAGGCTCCTGGAAGCCCAGCTCTGGAAACAGCCAGCACTGCCTTCAGGTGACTGATGCCACTCTCCAAGACCAGAGCAGGTACTGCAGGAACTGTGGTGGCCCATGTGCCTCACGAGGGATGGGACCCAGATGGCTGGTACACCTGGGATGAGATGGCAATGGCTGCTATGGTCTGATGACACAATAAAACTCGTTGCAGTGCTCCATGCAGCAGATGAAAAGCATTGTGGCAGCATGATGCAGAGCACAGACTGCATGAACTTAGTGTGCCAGCTCGAATTCGTTACCAGATTTCGGTGGGCTAACTTGGCACCAGCAGGCTTTACACGGGGCCAGGTGGCTTCTGCGCTCCACCATAAAAGTGCAAATCCAACAGAGATGCTGTTCTGCCGCTGCATGTTCACCACACCCTCACAGGTGACTGAAAATCACACTCTTTCAAAGGCTTCTTGGTGGATTTACTTTTGTTTTCACAGAGACCTGTAGCTGCAAACTCCACCCAAAGATCTGAGCTACATTCACTTTTTTCAAGTAATTCTCTAACAGCTTTGTTGGTCAGTGGAGGAAATAATACAGGCCATAGCTGCCATGGAAATATTAAAAAGAGAGCTTGGAAACAAGTGATAGGGAAGTTTTGAGACTTCAGTTTCAGAAATGGCTTTAAAATGTAAATGTCAGAATACCACACTGCAGCATGTAATCACTCCTTATGCAGATTCACTTAGAAAGAAGCTGCTAAAAAACACTAAACGTTATTAGCAACTTGCGTAACATTGATAATATTCCAAGGCAATGCACAACAGACCCTGTTTTAGATAAAAAGAGCTTTATCGTTCCAGTGTTCTAAGGTAAAAATTCAGACAGTTTTGCTAGAAGATCTGCACAACATGCACACATAAATTCAAGACAAAAAAAGTCTTGCCTATACCTCATTTCCTAATTTCAATATATTAGTTGTATCTTCTGCTAAGATGACCTTATGCAATTTATTTTCCCGCTTTGATATTTACGTCCAGCTACTTTTACAGCTTCACAGATATATTAATAAACCTCTAATTCCTAACAAGAACAATATTGGAAGAAATTAATTAAAAAGTACCTTTTAAACTGACAGTAGTACTGCTGATTGTTAATAATGTACATTTACCCTTGCAGAAGTAGGCAGGTGACTCCTGCGGGTATGTTTTGAACTTTGTAAAAAAAAGAAAAGCATCAAGCACCTGACATGTCTAACACAAGGAGGGAGTCTGCCTGTAGGGAGATACTTCAAACTGGATAAATCAATTAGAGTGGGTAATAAGCATAAAAGATCCCAGGATAAATGAAGTCCATCCTCATACAGTTTCCATGTCCCACTAAAGCTCCTTCCTTGCCTAGAGAAGAGACAAGATACAAAATAATACCTCAGACTGAAAGTATAGGTTGAGAAATTGCTTGTGCAGAGCTGTGCCATAGCAAGCACCATCATTAAAGGCACAGGGTATCAGAACTCAATAGATTGAACGGCAACGACATGGTCTCATAAGTTACAGCTCATCTGGCATGGCCGGAGAAAGTTCAGAGGCATGACTGCCCACACACCATTTATCTGCTGATGTGGAGTTGACAGTACAGGTGAAAAATACTCAGGAGCCGTAGGAGGTAATGGTACGAACTCCTGCAGCATCTTATGCGGTTTATTGGTGGGTCCCAGCATATGCACATGGACATAGCTCCCTTCCCGTATTTTCCGTTCAGGAGCCCTGGGGACTCGCTCGGTCACTTACTTTGGCACACCTCTCCTCTGTCATGACCGCTCTGCCTCTTACACTTGCCTCGCCGCAGCACTCCACGGAGGAGTTTTTGTTTTGTGCGTCAGGACAAAAGCAAACAAAAAGCCGGAATAAAGGGAGGATGCTGGGGGGGGTCTTATCTCTGCCAAACACCGGCTGGACACCACCCAGCCCAGCAGCTGAGTCATGGCCCTCTGCACCTCGTCCCGCTGGGGGAGCTCACAAATAACAGGGTGAGAGGGCAGGGGGGCCCGGCCGCCCCACACAGGAGCGCCTGGCCAGCCATGGCTGGAGCTGCGTCTGCACCTGTACCTACACGTTTTTACACAGCTATTTAAAATTCTGTGTGTGTGTGTGTGTGCATAACATACTGTATTTGTAAATGTAATACATATAAACCCCAAGTCATTTATTTATTGATACCAGTTCTGTCTTCTCTCAAATGAGCTAAAAATAATAATAATATATACAGAACTTGCAGAGCTATATATACACCTATATATAGATCTATACATCTATACAGGTCTAGGTGGGTACATTGTATATAAACACCTTTATATGGGTGTATACGCTGTAGGTATATACACCTATATATGTGTATAGGTATATATATGTATAGGTGTATATATGTGGGTATAGATATGCGTGTGTGTATACATATATATATATATATGTATATATATATACCAGAGTGAAGTATACATACAGTATACCTACACGGTTATACAGCTATACAAGGGATAAATGTACGCGCCGAGACGTGTATATACCCCTGTATGCGCACCTCTCTCTCTGTGTCGGTGTGTACAGTTGTACACAAGTACACAAAGGGGTACATCCCCACACGCATCTCCCCACGGCGAAGGACGCACAGAAAACCCGACGGCCCCCTCTCCCTCACGGATCCCCGCGTCCCAACCACGGGGCGGAGCTTCGGGGGGAGCCAATCAGAGTCAGGCGAGGCCCGAGCCCGGGGCGGAGCTGGCGCATGGGACGGTGGGCGGGGAGGGGCGCGGTTAGCGGGGAAGGGCGGGGCTGGCGCTGCCCGGGCTCCTGCGGCGGCGTCAGGCGCCCCAAAGAAAGATGGCGATTTATTTACATCCCTCCGCGGCGCGGCCAATGGACAGGCGCCTTGCCCGCGTGCCCGCCCGGCGGCGCGGTCAGCTGAGGCGGCGGCCAAGATGGCGGCGGCCAAGATGGTGGGGCTCTGGGGTGGAGGTGCCGGGGCCGTGCAGTAGAACCCAGCGCCGCCGGGGCGGCCGCGCCTGCCCCTATAGGGAACGCGGCATCGCCTGCGCCTGTGTCACCCCTGCCCCTCGTCCAGGGAAGATGCATTCTTTTGGGAGCGAAGAAGCAGTCTCGCTGGAGCGTCTCTTTGGGTTCTTCTGCGAGTGCGTGCGGCATGGGCACTGGGAGCTGGCGCAGGCCTGTGTGCCCCAGCTGAGCCAGGGGCACGGCGATGGCCCTGGGAAGGTGGAGGCAATTCTTCAGGCTCTGGTAGCTTGCCCCGTGGAGGTGAGGTAAGTAAGGTACTGCTCTGGCTGAGCAGACTTGAGTGTGAAGGGGGGAGGAGCAGTTAGCTTAGTGTTGACTGTGGGGAGCCAGGTAGGATCTGGGAAGCAGCACCTATTTCACTGCTGAGGTGCCTTCGGTGTGTCTAGTGGTGCTGTTATGTGAACGTTGACACATTATCACTGACCAAGAACTTAGCAGGCTTTCCAGCCCACTGGGATAACGAGCTGTGTTCGTTTATGTGTCTGACATGGTAATTGAGACAAGCTTAAAACTACTTGTAAGCATTTCAGAACTGATTTTGTTAGATTTTATTGAAGGAGAAAGAACAGCTCTTGAAATTATGTTCCTTTGACACTGAGCTTTGGTTAATTTAGAAGTGGAACCACCAAGATGAGCCCTATAGTTATTTAAAATGTTCTCTTGTTTCCACCTCTTGAAAATCCTCACAGTTTCTAAAAATGTAAACTCTAAAAAACTCAAATTATGCTGTCGATTTCTTATTTTTCTCACACCAGAATTTGAAATGCCATTTGTTTTACTCAATCCTAGTTACGTTTTATCAGTGCTTTTCAAGTAGATGCATATGAAAGGTGACTTTCTGGCACTTCAGGGAACATCGGTATTCTCCCTGTATAATCAGATGATTATACTTCTTCACATTTAAGTTTGTGGAACATTTTGGTAAAGGTTCCAAGAAACAATTTACATTAACAGCAGTTAAAGAGTCTGGAGGAAGGTGTGCACATGGTTAGATAAATATTGCTAATAGCCGTGTCAGCCATAAGCATTTTCAGTCTTTTTATCTTTGATAGATAGGCTATCACATCTAAAGGTTTTAGTTAGTAGTGCTGAGATTTTTAAAGGACAGTAAAATATATTGTCCTTTTTCTTTTTCCTAGTCCCTTTGACAGTACTGAGTATGTTTCCTAACTGTATAGACTTTGGGATGTGTATATAAGTACTGGAGCACTTGAAAAGCTGAAGAAAATTAGAGGGATTCTTTGTTTAATTGGTACATTGCTTCACTTTTAGTTTGGGCATAGAGCTGCACTTGGGCTGCTGTGACCTAAAACTTAGTTTCAGTTTTTCGGGTAGAAATAGACAGAACAGGAAATAGCAGTGCTTGGCAAGTGGTCACATTTCAGAGACATCTGCTGAAGTGCTCCAAGAGGACTATACAGACTGACCTTTAGACCAGAAATAAATTTAATTGTTTTGAAGAACTATGCCTGTGGTATTTGGCCAATCTAAAAGCAGTTATTTGCACAGCAGAAATCACTGAGTTAATGTGCAAGCAGCACCAATATTCTGGTTCCTCTTCATTCTTTTCTGTCTGATTTGTTTTCAGCTTTTTAGTCATCTTTGGTTTTATTTTGCGCAAAGAAATACAAAAATCAAAATGATCTCTGACAGTGTTTTCCCGAATTTTGGACCTTGTATAATCCAGTGTACGTGCTTCTTGCTTTTGTAGATGGGGACAGAATTCTAGCCCATGGAGAACAGCATGGCTTTGGCTTCTTGTGCTGGAAAAATGGCTTGCCAGGAATAAGGTACAGAAACGTCTAGCTGACTTGCAAATGCAGTTTATAGCTCTGACTTCTAGCTGCCTTCCAAGTGCAAAATGTCTGCCCAGTTGCTTATAATGGAACTAAGTTCTCAAGGTATCTGGAGACATGCATTGCTTTTACATTTAACAAATTTGTCAAGAAACAACTGTTAATCTTCACACTGGAGAGAAAAATTGTTTTGGTTCCTTTTTCAAGATATCAGAACTTGGCATTTTAGCTTTGAGCATTCATACAAATGAAAAGCATGAGTGTATCAACTTCTGCATTTGTGTAGCACCCTTCTTACATTAACAATGAAATAGCTCAGACATCAGACAATTCTTTATAAGTTTTAGATGATGAGGGATGTGTGTACTTTTTTTAAAATTAATTTGTTCGTGTCACTACTTAGGCTTGCATTTTTTTTATGTTCTGAGGAATTGATGGGTTTGTAATTCTTGACAAAGTGACACTTATCTCTGTTTCCAAACGTATGGATGAATAAAATCAGCTGGCGTGAAAGCAGAACCTAATTGTGGAATAGCCTTTGACTGAGAATAAGGTATCTTCAGAGCAATATTTCACTCTGCCTCACAATGTTAATGAAACAGCTAAGATAGATTTATATGGTAATGTAGATAAATAAAAGCTTTATTGACTAACATCTTTCCCATACTCATATATGGTTTCAGAAAACTGTTCCAGTTGTTCTTCAGAGAGAAACTGAATTTTTAGTGTTCTTGGAAGAACTACAGAAGGATATTTCTGAGGAAGTCCTAAAGGTGAGCTACTTCTGTGCCCTGTTTCTTCTTGTTAGTTATGCAGAATGTCCAGTTATGCAGAATGTGGGATCGAAGTTAATACTTCTTGCTAACTTGACTGCCTGAGAGGTTAATGTGTTAATAATCTTCCAGGCAGTTGAAAGAGACTGTAATTCAGATCCCTTTCTGAAGTTAATCCAATGTGCCTGCAAGCGATTTCTCTGGTCAGAGTGGAAGCTGCAGGCAGGCAGCACAGGTTTTTCTACATGGTATTTCTAACACACGTCAGTCCTGACTGCAACTACTTGCCGCAGTTTTATATCTATAGACACCTGTAATAATCATAAACCTAAAACCCACTGTGAGCTAAAATAAACTATAGTCAGCAAGCACATTTTTAAATTATGTCTATTTTCTTTTATTTTTCTCCTGAGATCTTAATTTTCATCTCCTGCACACCCCTTTGCCCTGTTCCTGGAAGTTTTTGAATGCTCTACTGTTGTCACTGGTGTTGTTTGGTAATTGGTATGATGTGTGCTCTGAAGTCCAGGACCCATTTTTACATTACTAATTAATACATGCGGACTGATTTATTTGAGAAATGCATGGAAATATGCAAAGATGGATTAATATCAAAAGCAAGTATAGAGCAGAAAATCAGGAAAATTACTAATTATAGAACTGCCCTAACTTGGTGTTAGTTACAACAGATTTAGACCTGACATAGTGTGTGAAATGTCATAAGATGTTGCTTCTAGTCCTATAGATTCTAACTCTTTAAAGATTTTTTTTTTGTTTGCCATTTTTAAGAAGAAAATGGAAAGTTATTATATTCAGAAGCTCTTGGCAACTTTTAAATATGAATAAGGAAAAGATATTCAATACTTTCCTAAAGATACAGGACTAGCAATTACAGGATGAAAACAATCAAGATAAACTTAAATGTTGATTAAAGTAAATCCCCTGGAAGTCTGTTAATGAGTAATGAAGTCTGTGCATGTTGCCATCTAACCTCCAAGGTCATGAATGATTCCACCGTTGTCCACAGTGTCCACCAGCGTTGCACGGAAACATGAGATTCAGCAACCTCTGTCACAATTACTGTCAGAGGCATGTTGGTAGATAGAGCTATGTTTTGATCCAGCAAATGAAAAAACCTGGGTGTTGTTGACTTCTATTCTCATTTTTTTATGCACACCAACCACCTCTCCCGAGTAGTGCCACAAGTGCTGCTTAAGTGATATTCAACTGGCTTGTCCCTCGCCTTCCCACCCGTTATTGGGAGAGCTAACTGGGATTTTTTTGTTTGTGCTTGTTTTCCCATTCCTTGTTCTCGATTGTAGGTATGCTTCTGTTAGGAAGAAAAGTTATTGTTGCTTAAGAAAGAAGTGGCTTCGGAATCTGTTGGTCAGTTTTAAACAAGTTTGGAAAATTGATGAGGATGATGTGGTTGGCAGATAGATAGTATGAATCTGGATAAGTAGGATTAAAAAAAACCCCACTAATCATTATGCTCTTAGTGGCTTATGAATTTACATCAGTATATTGCTAAGAGGTGCCTCAGCCACCCCATAGGGACTGCCTGTGACTTACAGTGTA